AATATATTAAAATAAAAACTAATTTTTCAATATATTAATTTTTAAAATATTGAATATTTTTATTTTTATAAAAATTAATTTATGTTTTGGACACTGATCAATAAATTTTTATAAAAATTAATATTATATGTTATTTTTTGAAGAACCATATAAATTCTTTATTAAAGGATATTTTTATTAAAAAATTATTTTTATCCTATATAGTATTGTACAGTGCATTACCAAATACTAGATAATATTATCTTATACAATATATTATTTTGTACAATATTGTACCAAACGCTGGATAGTATTGAAATTCAATCAGGTCTTATACTATCAGGCTTTATCCTATACTATGCACCAAACATACCCTAAGTGGGCTCGGAACACCACAATCAAACCCAAAACCTTAAGGCATTAGGTGCATGGATCCTACCACTTATATGGTGCTCACTTAGTCCATTCTTAACCAATGTGGGACTTTTTCACTCAATCACTCACACTTGAATTCCTCAACGCATTGAACATGTGGTATTTTAGAAATCCCACTTGGTGGCCCAACATTTCCGGAAATATTTTGTCCTACTAAACAACATTTTGGTAACATTTTCAAAAAATTTACTTTCCCACTATATTCCTCGGAATCATGATTTCTAGGTAAAAAAAATTCTAGAAAATTTATTTTTTCACTATATTCCTGAGAATTGTGATTCTTAAGTAAAATTTTTTTTCTCCTTTATCAAATACCCCCTTAGATAAATTGAGACAGGCTGAGTTCAATAGATCGAAGGAGGAAAAAATCATTGAATGCTTGAAGAATTCATTACAAAACTCTTGAAGATAAAGATTGGGCTATACATTCCATCCAACATATACGAAGAAGATTTCATTCAAGAGACCTCACTCCCTTCATTATACATACATGTACATTCGCTATTAATAAACATGTAATGGCTAAATTTGTTCGCTAGTTAATAAACATGTATAGGCTTAAAGTTCAAATCCAAGTACTTACACTTGAGAACAATTTTTTTTTTGGGTTATATAAGAACAAATTTTATTAACTATTATCTTAGTGTTTATACGAATTAGATTATCAAAAAAATTATACTTGAAGATTTTATTTTAAAAGAATTGTTTATAAAAAATTAACGGTAAAAAAAACCCAATTTCAGAATTTAAATTTTATTTGAGCATTGCAAAAGTATAATTGTCCTGACGTCAAAGGCTTTAAAGTTGGTGCGATCGATGTCAATTGAGTAACAAATTTATTTGTTAAATTATAATTACTTTTAATGTGCAATATACTTATAGATTATGTTTTTGAAATTGACTTTATAATTTTAAATGCAAGGAAAATTATGAATATTATTGAATTTCATATCAAAATCATGCTTTCAACTACAAAAATAAAAAATTAACCATAAATCATTTATAGTAAAATAATTTCTAGTAATTGGAATTGATTCTACAAATTGAAATCATTATTGTTAGAGAATAATATAAACTATTAAAAAGGCATTCACCTAAGACATTAAGGTTGTGGGTTGAAGTGATTTTTTATATGGTATCAGAGCTTCTTTGATTACAAGGTCACGAGTTCGATCCCCACCGCCCTCACTTTAAAGTGAAATTAAAATAAACACAAAATATTATTAAAAAGAGTCAAAAGACCTTTACCTAACACCAACGGCGGACCTATATATGTGCTGATGTCTGCAATTGCAGACATTAATTTTTTATTTTATTTTTTTTCGGTGGATGAAAATGATGATTTATAGTGCAGACACAGTCTTGTTTGCCATCAGCAACACTGGAAGGATTGAAGAGAAACTGGAACATTTACGTGGCAATGAACGTAAGAGCTTTGAGAGGATATACAATTACGATGGGTATAATGATCTCGGAGAGCCTGACTAAGACGTTGATCTTAAGAGACCCGTTCTTGGTGGCGACCAATATCCATATCCTAAGCCGGAAGACCTTGTTGCAAAACAGGTATATCTCTCAGACTCTCACATGGATTCACAATTCATTTAGTAATACATAAATCAATTTTTTAAAAGTAAAATAATAATATATTATTAAATAATAACTTAAACTTTTCTAGAATTAAAAAATAAAACTTACTTTGAATATAATCGTTTTATTGTACTAGCTTATTTGACTCTTAATTATTATTTTTTTATGTTAAGTTGAAGTTTTTTTAATTTTTTTGTTTTTTAATACATTTAAATTTTTTATTAAATTTTTTTTCAGGGCGTAGCCTCATAACCCAACACTAAATATATGCACACACAAATATAATTTTCTGGGTCCGCCATTGCCTAACACTTATTGTTTTGCATCACATTCGAGAGTAACTTTTTACTTTAAAAATAGTTTTACACTGTAGCCCGTTTGGTACGCGGGATTTTTTGGGATTCTAGGAAAACTGAATTTTTCTAAATTTTTAATTTTAAGATAGGGAATAACATCTCTCATTTTAAAGGATATAAACTTATATCATTTTAGATCCTAACCGTTGATTTCTGTCTATCAACGGTTATAGTTTATTGGATTAAAATTATTGATTAATTAATAATAAATTTGGCCCATTAAGTTTGACCTAATAGACTATAATCGTTGATGGACGGAAATCAACGGTTAGAATCTAAAATGATATAAGATTATATCCTTTAAAAGGATAAATATTTTTTCCTTTAAGATATTATCGTAAACTGAATGTAAAAATTATATTTTTGAAAATTGAGATTCCCGGATAAATTTTTTTTTTCCTCTACCAAACCTCGCATAGAAAAAATGTAAAAGAAACGATTATTAGTTTCAATGTGCCATTTGTCGTATTCATACCGTTTCTCAAACAACAAAAGGCATATGTTTGGGAAAAGGAGGTAGTTTTTAAAGGAGGTAACTACATCGGAAGCATGAGTTTCATGATCACATCAAGTTTGAGGTTCGGATTTAAGGTTAGCATTATTTTAGAGCCTTAGACGGAAGGGACAGAGGACCACATATGTGTAATAAAATATGACATCATGTCCCACACTTTAGTGCTAACCTAACTTGAAGCACACCCAACTAACAAAATGGAAGAACGATTCCATAAAGAAGTCATGAGGCCAGCCTTCTACTAGTTTTTTATGACTCTTGATTTCCCTCCGTCATCTACCTCTGTTAAAATAATCTTTAAAATTCATACTCATCTGTTACCATCATGATGATCATTAATTATCTAACAAGTAACATAATAATAGCATAGTTTTGCATCGTATCACTTACATTTTTAATTATTTTATTTTAGAAAAAAATATGCAACTCTATGATCCGGGCTTATGCAAGACTTAGGAAGAGAGTACCTCCAAAAGAAAAATGAACTTCACGTAGTATTTGAATTTGGAATAAGTTTGTGAAGAAATATTTGCTCAGTCATTAAGGACAAGATCGAAATGAGGTTGAAATATCAGGACCTAAGTACATTTTGATAGTGGGATGGGTGACCAACTAGAATGTTGCTACTTGCTAGTGGTCCTTCATGTTTTAATTTATATATTTGCAACTGCACCAATATTAGCTAATCATTCAAGTACTGTTTTTAATACTATACTGCTTTGTTATCAGTTTGGCAATGGACGAGTTGTGGTTGATTCATTCCAATTATATTGCAGTAGCAAACAGAGACCCAGTTGGGGTGGGTTTTAATATTGCAATAAATGGAGAAAATAACTAGTTGTTCGTTTTCAATGGATTGTATTTTTTTGTAATTGTACACGACACTAATAGGCCTAAATTAGAGGCAAGTGGATAAAAATTTACAATTACTTGTTATTATAAGGCAAAATCTAGATATCAATTCAATGTCCTAATGATTTAAATTAAATGGAATCGGAATCAAATGTGGGTATTATAATGGCTTTTGGTTTGTGGTGAGTAAAGGGATATAATTTATATGCGGGCAGGAAGAGGATGAAGACTACAAAATACAAACAGAAACTTTGAATAACCAAACTCACCAATCACAAAAGGCTGAGTCCAAGCAAGCACCTGTCGCAACGTCCACTTCGCCAAAATAAAAATTAGAAAACACAACAAAAAGTAAAAAACAGTAGAGAATAACAACCACCGTGGGTCTCGAACCCACCCACGGGCCACGACCACCAGGTTAAGAGCCTTGCGCTCTACCGACTTACCTAGACGGGCAATTACATTACGTGTTATCCTTTACGTGCCTCCTTAACAATAATAGGATGTGTGTTAGTTTAATTTTTAATTCTATGTATTATGGATAATACATAATTATAATATAAAAAATTATTTTTTCTCTTTTAATATTAGTTGAAATGACTGGAAAAAAATAATTTTTCGTATTATAATTATGGATAAATTACGAAGAGAAGTTATCTTTGGTAAGCACAAAACAATGTAGTTTTGTGACAAAAATTAAGATATTTTTATAATTTTAATTTTTTACAGAGTTATATTAGTCTTTAGCATTATAATTTTTTAATTTTACAACCCAAAATGATATCGTTTTAAATTCACTAAAAATAATTTTATCTCCAATAATTAGAGAAATAGTTTTTTTGACCTTTTTTTATAATTATATACTACTTGTGATATACAATGTTAAAGTTTAAAATGACACGGGTTTTTTTGCCCACCCTAACAATAATAAGATGTAACCAGGTCTATACTGATCCCGCCATAAAGTAAAATTTGTGAATTTTGATTTCTTCGTATGTGAAAATATTCATATTATTTGATGATAATTATTTATTTAAAAATTATATATATTTTTTTATTTCATCTTCAATGAATAATTAGGATAAATAATAAGACTAAATTACCATTTTTGATCCAAATGCAAAATTTGTTGGTTTTTTCCATCTTGAAAGTAAAAAAGCGGGTCCACATTCCAGCTAATGCATGACAAGTCAGAATAATAATAATAATTGGGGCTATGAGTAAGCACACGTTACCCTTCCAGACTCCAGTCCCCCCCTTTGGATGGTGGAAAGTATAAACGTAAAATACTCAGCAGCAGGAGGTCCAGAGATTCCGAATTGTGATAGCGGTAATGGCCATAGGCATTGGCATGGCAGTTACCGGTATGTACCCGCACACCCCGAGACTCTTTTCATTTATGCATCCCACGCGCCACTTCTCACTTACTGCTTTCACTACTAAGTTTCGACTTCGAGCTTCTTCCTCTTCCACGGCTTTCATTAACACCGACTCCAATCCAACAGTAATACTTCTTCTTCCAAATCACAATCCCTAAATTCAATTCTCTTATTATATACATATTTTTCTTAAATATATTCTTCGCTTGTTATAATTTTGGACATTTCTGCAGTTTATCAAAACACGTTGTATAAGGAATGTAATTTTGTGTTTAGGATTCCATTTTAGTTGAGAAGGAAGTCAGCCAGAGCAGCAATTTATTGGCTTGTCCTGTATGTTATGACTCCTTGACATGGACCGGTGATCTTGGTTTGTCCGTGTGAGTTGATGTTAATAATCGATTGTTGCCTTCTATTTTATGCATATAAATATGTATGAAATTGGCAACTTATTATGTTTATATGTATTCATGATCCTGGATTAATGCCTGCTTAGCACTTACACACTTTGCCAAATTATGCATATATGTATGAATTTGTTTACTTTGCATCTTTCTTTTCTTCTTCTTTTCCTTTTAATCGGCGTAGTTACTTATTGTTAGGCTGGTTTAATGGTTTCTGTTTCTTCGTTGGATGATTTGATGCAGAGATACTATCCCTGGATCTAGTTTACAATGTAGCACCTGTCAGAAAACATATGTTGGTAACCAAACACATCTTGATCTCACAGCAACGAGTGGAGCTAAGAGCTATGGTGAATTGATGCCGGCTTCCACAGAACTTTTCAGGCATGGAAGTTCCCTTTCTTTTTCTTGATATAAAATGTGTTATGAACCAATTATCTCAATAGCTTAAGGTGTTAGGTAAAGGTTCATGAATGGGTTTTATATCTAAAATTTCCCAGCACGCAAGAGCACTTTAGACTTGAATCGTGGAAAATGCACAGGGGCACCCCATCTTATGCTGAAATTCAACTTGTATTAGAAGAAAAGGATGGCGAGAATCAAAGTCCAGACCACTCGGTCACAGAAACTCTTGATACCATATCATGAACCAATTATCTTAGAAGCTTAAGTTGTTAGGTGTAAGCTCTTAATTGGTTTTTATATCTAACAAAATGTTTTTTTCTTGTGATCTTTAGTTGCATTTAGTCATTTTTAGAACTGTGTCTGTTGGTGACAATAGAAACTGAAAAGATTCGAGGTAGAATGCAAGCTAAAATCAAGTGTTGAACATATTTTTTCGTATGAGCTGGCTACTGAAGTTTGACCCAACTATTTGTGTATAAGGTCAAGTTATCAGAGCAATAATTATGAAAATAAAATGGAAATCGAGTGGTTTTATCTTGTGGATCACAAAAGATTTTTCATGAAAAAATAAAATAAAAAAATCTTGGACTTTGGATACATTGTCTTCGCAGGTGGTCCTGAGTATTAAAAGATGTTGCTTGATAACTAGTATCACATTGTTTTTAAGGAGTTTGGGAAACACTTGTAGGCACATCATTTTTCACCTTTTAATCATGTCCCTACATTTGATATATTACTTTCATTTTTTGTAATTTTAGATACCACTGAGATAGTATAATAAAACAGTTTTTTAAGCATAGATATAGCTTGCATATAAATTAATTTGTTAATACTGTCGCACTGCTGCTTAACTGTCTAATTTGTCTAAATGTTCTAAAGTTGAATTTGAGACTTATTTTGCCACTTTTATGCTTACTGATTGTTTGTTGAATCAGGGTGCCATTGATATCATTTCTCTATGAGAGGGGCTGGCGTCAAACCTTTTCTGTATGGGGTGGTTTTCCAGGTCCTGAGAAAGAGGTAAATCAAATGTCTCTGCTACTAATGACTATCTCCTCTTAATGGACCCACATGTTTTTTTCTAAATGGTTTCTTGTCTATAAATTATCTGTTGTTTATCCTTTAGCTTCCACTTTCTTCAATATTCTAGTATCCAATTAGAATAATAGTGATTCTTGATATTTATTATGTAAGTCCCTTCTTCTGAGTTTAGAGGAGCATCATAAACTGATTCAATAATTCAAATATTCCTGCTAAGCAGTTTATCAAACAAGCAGTTTGCGGCTGAATTTGTAATAAGCTAAAAATTTGAGCTTATAAAACTAAGTTGAAAATAATTTATCTGGATTCAATAATATAAGCTCATTCAATTGTGAAAAAAGTTATCAATTAGTACTAACAGCTCCAAATTAGCTCCCAAACATAGCTCATGGATGTCCTGGGAGCTATATCATTCAGTTTATCTTATTTACCTTTTTGTGATTGGTGAGAAGAATATGAATTTGGATATGGTGCTGCAATTTATATGATGAAATTCTTTAAAATTCTGATGCAATCTGTCTTCTACATCATTCCTGTCGTATGTACTTTTAAAGCAATATCAGAATTATCTTTTTGATGCATGGCTACTTTATATTAATTTTCGTTTGATGTGCTTTAACAGCTAATCATGCCTCCTATTTAATTTGACTGCAGTTTGAACTGATGAAGGGTTTCTTAAAGCCAGTATTGGGTGGAAATATCATTGATGCTAGTTGTGCAAGTGGATTATTTTCAAGATTATTTGCAAAAAGTGGACTGTTTTCTTTGGTTGTTGCTCTAGACTATTCAGAAAACATGTTGCAGCAATGTTATGAGTTCATTCAGCAGGAAGAGAACTTTCCAAAAGAGTACACAATTTACATTTCTTATTTGATTGGAATTTTATTATATCTAACTCTTGAATTCAAAGTTCTAAGGGAACTACTTTTTATTCATATTACAAGTATATCTCATTAATATTTCTGTCATTAGGAACTTCATCTTGGTTAGAGCAGACATATCTAGACTCCCTTTTGTTTCAAGTTCTGTTGATGCTGTGCATGCAGGCGCAGCTCTCCACTGTTGGCCTTCACCATCAGCTGCTGTAAGTGAATAATTATTCATTAATATTTAGATTTTACAGAAAAATGTTTCATTTATTTAGAATATCGGTGCCAATGGCTTGGGGAAAATCATTTAACCATGGTTTTAAGGTTGTTTATAAAGTTCTTATATTGAGCTGAGGTAGAGAATGGAATCCCAAAAGGTTTATGCAGTATTTTGTCAGCAATGATGAAGACATGTTTCATACTTCAAATGCCGGCTGATTTTAAATATAGACTTCTCTTCTGATGTGTGATTGTAATTTCTTGGATAAATTACTTAAGTTGATTCGTCACTTTTCAATGTGCATAGTTTTGTCAGATTGCCTAGCACATTCTGATTAGCATGTATTCTCACTTTCTTTTTCTCCATAATTTCCATGGTCTGTTTTTGCAGGTAGCTGAAATAAGTCGTGTTTTACGTCCTGGAGGTGTCTTTGTGGCGACCACCTACATACTTGATGGGCCTTTTACTGTTGTCCCATTTTTAAGTACACTACGTCAGGTATGATTTTTCTTGGCTCGGGACTCTTGTGTCAGTATTTACGTCATTCTCCTTTGGAATTGATAAATTCTGTGAGAGTAACAAGATATACTTTGTTCAGTTGTTTTTTTGCTGCTATTTCTTGATTTGGATCTGCTAGCTTCATTTTTTGCTGGCCAACGTCCTTTTATCTTTAGCTGTGCAGCATTCCAAGTTTTGCTCATTATTTTTCCCATTGTTATGAATTATTATATATCTCCCCTTGAATAATAAATTGCCTTTACAGGTTTTCTTTTCATAAGTTTCATTTGATATATAGAAAGTTGAATACACTACGATTTTGGTCTCTGGAAGATTGGGTTGACATCAATTTGATCCCTGAAAAAAAAATAAAAAAATATCACTCTCCATTAAACTCTAACTAGTGAGGATGGGATGAGGTCAATCCTTGTACGCAGTTTTACTCTTGCATAATTGCTAAGAGACTATTTTTCGGATTTGAACCTATGACCTTTTAGTTACAAAGGAATAACTTTACCCATGGTCGAGGCTCACTCTCTTAATCTGACCCCTCAAGGTAAGTGAAATTAATTTAGTCTCTAAAAGATGGAGAATGACATTAATTTAGTCTCTAAATCTCAGCCTTTTTTGCACTAAAGGATGGTTTTGATTTTGTTTTTGAGGATTGATGAGTTACATTGATGTCAACATAATCTTTAAGGGATGGAAATGGATGTCTACTCTAGAAAGATTTTCAGTTTTATTTGTTTTTAACAAAAAAAAAAAATATTAATTTTGAATAGTGGGCTTTTTGTTTCTCATTTTTAGAATATAATGCAAGTATCCGGGAGCTACATCTTTCTCTCTGAACGTGAACTTAAAGATCTCTGCCGGGTGGGTGGTCTGGTTGGATTTAAATGCATCAGAAACGGGCTTTTTGTGATGATTTCTGCTACAAAGCCCAGTTAAGGTTTGAGTTTCCTGGTGCATTCTGTGCTGCATTCTAAACACATTTTACTGAAGCCTTTAGTTCTTTACATAATCAATTTATTTAAATCGTTAGCAGATAAAAATGCTGCATGTTGATCGGTTAAAAGTTTTAGTTTGACTTATTACGATAAAAATAGGCTTCATTTTTGTCTTACATTAGGCACATATCATGAGTTGGGAAGATCACCACCACAAATGCAAAAGTAAGGAGTTATGATAGATGGTGAAAAAAGTGTTCAAGTCATGATATGTGAGAAATGTGAGGCGAAATATATGTAAATATCATTACTACTTCATTTAACATTCAACTTTCTTGCCTTTTTGCATTTGATTCATATATCACAAAATTATCACAGCTCTGTCGCTGGTAATTGGAGTAATAAGAATATACTTTGCTATTCAACGTATTAACCTTTAGAGGATCTATACATGATTAAACTGCATATAAACATGGGAAGTTCTTCCCTCAAAGAAAGGTAAGATAAAACAAGGCCTGTACTATCTCATTTGTCACTTTGCACGTGTGATTCATGCTAAATATTTGATTGAAATGCAGTTCTGGGGAATTCTCTGCCACTGAAAACATCTTGACTTAACCTCTCTTGAGCCAAGCAATCTCAGTAGGCTGCAAAACCGCTAAAACTATTCACCTAAATTCGAGAATGTCAACTGTCCGTTAGAACAATGTGTTATTGATAGGAACTGAATAAATCTGACCAGAAAATGGGACCTAAACAGTATGTATTGTATTGCTATACTGATATCAGAATGATATCAGAGCTTGTATATGGTGTTTATAATCGGAAAACATGAAAATGAAGGATATCTGGCATGGGAAAGCATGTACTCTCCCCCGAGTCACTACCCATGTCAATTCTTGCGTACCCCTTCACTCGTTCTCCCCTCTCCTTATGATTCCAATTCGTGTAGTAACAATTTTTCCCGCCAAAGAGTTATTCACATTTTCCGGATTTGCTTGGGGATCTAATCTCCTTCCTAAAATACATTCTAGTAATGGCTAGCCTCCTAACAGTTATCTTCGCCATCAAGATCAACGTTACCATTAGTAGTTCCGAACATACAATTCTATTGATCCAAAATTCTCTATCTATGGGTAAACTATCCAATTCCATTTGCTGCATCTTTGAAAATTATTGACATCTCAAATTTAACAGAGGACGCAACGTTTCGATTGCTGCTAGCCTAGTCAAGTTAGCCTGTATTCACTTGATTTTATTACCTTGTCTTTATTTGCATACTGTTGGTGCGTAAGTCACCAAGGAAAGAGTTCTAAAATGATTGCACCTGTGCAATGGCACGCGTTCAAGTAATAAGAGGAGTATTAAGTCCCAAGATATTGTCCCACGGAGAATGTATCGTTATTTTGAATTATCAAATTGTATACAAATCACATAAAAGTTAAAAGGAAAGTACAAAAACAGAATTGAATTACTCTCAGCTTTTCGTTTCTAGCTATCACAGTGGTGTTTCTACTTTGACAGATAGTTCAAATCGCTTTGAATGGTTTCTCACGTTGTTATGTAATTTTAGTCCTTTTTTCATAAGGAAGAATGACAAATCATGAGAACAAATTGTTATATGAAATAGAACTGGATAATAATAAAAAAGTGCAGTAATTAAACATATTTTTTGTTTTCTCAAATTTACAGTTTTGGAACTTAGCAGTGTAACAGTAATGACAGAAAACTTGGAACGTCGATAAAACAAACTATGAATGGATTCACTCTTTCATTGAAAATCAGCTATAATCTTGGCTCAAGATCTCATCTAATGGATTTATTCAGGTCACTTTTATTGCCAATATTGATATAAGCTCATGGGTTGATTGGTATATGAAACCCTGCATTACCTTGCAGTTTTGTTTCCAAATACTCATTGCACCTGGCTTGGCTGAACTTGGGGGTTCTTTATTCCTAAAGCAACTAGTGAAAATGATTTCACACTTTCACCTTCCAATCGGAATTTTGCAGTCTTAAATCCCTTTCCAATGGAAATTCCTTTCTCAAATCAATTTCCATGATACCAAAACAATAAAAGCATAAGATACTAGAAATCCATTGAAATTGGAAATTGGAATTTGATTACAGTGATTAACAACTTCACAGATTATCCATTCCTAAAGAAAATTAGTTCTCTCTCACCGGCATGGCTGAAACATACAAAAGAAAATTCAACTACTTGGAATCTCATTACAAATTGCTGAGAACCAAGGAGTGTTGGGCTTCCTCCTTTAATGGTAAGCTCAAGCCCATTGAGGAGTTTCTTAAAAACCCTAAATATTAAACCCTGATTCCACCTCCTTTATATATTCATTAGTTGTGGGTGGAGGCTAGGTTAGATAGAAGATCGAAGAGAAAATTATTTGAGAGATTTGTGAGCAAAGCTTTGAGCTTTGTATTTGAGAGATCTCTAGAGAGAGTTTGAGTGAAACATCTTTAGAGAAGTTTGATTATCACCATTGTTGCAGAGGTTGTATTAACCACCACTTTGGTGAATTTTGATTCTTTGTATCTATTATTTTCATAGTGGACGTTTGAACTGGACTAGGTCCCGTGAGTTTTACTTCTTCATTGGAGAAGGTTTTTCCACGTTAAAATCTGCTTGTGTTCTCTTTCTTTCTCTCTCTCTCCTCTTTATATTTTTCATTTTTCCGCTGCGCTGCCCGACCTGGTGAAGTTCAGGCCGAGGTAGATTGCCGAGATCCGAGATCCAGGATCTTATTGACTGACTTCCGCGAAAAGGCTGCTTAGCCGACTTGAGGGAACCAAGTTTCCAACAGTGGTATCAGAGCTCGAGTTCGACGGGTTCTGAGGGAGACGAGATGGAGACCAGTGGTATAAGCCATGATGGAGATATGTTCAAGCTGACCACAGATAATTTCACGTATTGGAGACCGATGATGGATGATCATCTCTATTGCAAAGATTTACATGAGCCCATTATCCTTGATGAGAGACCGACAGGCAAAACCGATAAGGAGTGGGAGATCCTGAGTCGTAAGGCGGTATCTAAAATCAGAAAATACATAGACAAAAGTCTCTTTGAGCATGTGTCCGAGTTCACGAACGCGTACGAGTTGTGGACAAAGCTGGAGTCCATGATTCAGAAGAAAAAGCATACCTGGTTCGCCAACTTGTGAAGCTGGAATACAATGACGGCATGAGCATGATTGAACACCTCAACACCTACAAAGGTATTGTGAATCAGCTGTCAAAAGCTGAGATGAAAATTGATGACGAGATGCAGACTTTGCTGCTGTTGAGCTCGCTGCCAGAAAGTTGGGATACTCTGGTGGTGACTTTGAGTAATTCGGCTCCAGAAGGAAAACTAAAGATGGATGCTATTAACAGATAGTCTCCTGAATGAAGAAGCCAGGAGAAGAGAACAAGGTGTTTCGAGCACGTCTGAGGCCAACGTTGCTAAGAACAGAGGGAAATCCGACTCCCAGGGTAGAAGTAAGAGCTGGGGTCGAGATCGTGACAGAAGAGGAAAGTCCAGAGGTCGGTCAAAGCCGAAATATGAGTTGAAGTGCTTCTATTGTGGGACGACAGGACATAAGAAGCCAGACTGCTGAACTTTGTAGAATGACGAGAAGAACAGCTCTGTGAAGCTGGATCAAATTATTCCCAAGAAGAGGGAAGACAAGAGCACCACTGTTGTGGCTGCCAACCCAGATGCCGAGATATTCCTCCTAGGTGAGGATAATTATTTGAATGTTGCATATGATGACTGCACATGGATTGTTGACTCTGGTGCCTCCTTCCACGTTACTTCACATAAAGGTTTTTTCTCCTCTTACCGAGGTGGTGATTTTGGAGTCGTGAAGATGGAAAATCAAGTGACCAGCAAGATTGTTGGTGTCGGTGATGTAACCCTGACCACTGATGTTGGGTGCCGACTTGTGCTGAAAGATGTAAGGCATGTTCCTGACATGCGATTGAACCTAATCTCGGTAGGCAAGCTTGACGATGTCGGGTTAGTGAACTACTTTGGTAGTGTTAGATGGCAGCTGACCAAAGGAAACCTAATTGTTGCCCAAGGTAAGAAGGAAGGCTCCTTGTACGTGATGCAAGGAAAGATCAATGGTGGAGAAGCCAATTCTGTCTGAGATGGACCTAGCTTGGAGTTATGGCACAAGCGCCTCGGGCATATGAGTGTGAAAGGGCTCCAAATTCTGAAAAGGAAAGGATTACTGACCGGGTTGAAAGGCCAAGCATTGGAGAGTTGCACACACTGCCTAGCTGGAAAGCAGCACTGGGTTTCTTTTGTGAGACCGGATCAACCCAGATGACATAGGTATATTCTTGACCTCGTCCATACCAATGTCTGCTCCATGTTGGAGAGATCCCTTGGAGGAGCTCAGTGTTTTGTTTCATTCATTGATGACCATTCCTGCAAAGTGTGGGTTTATTTGTTGAAGTCTAAAGACCAGGTACTCCAATCCTTTAAAGAATTCCATGCTATGGTTGAAAGGGAGACTGGCAAGAAATTGAAGGTGGTCAGATCTGACAATGGTGGTGAGTATTGCGGCCCATTTGATACATACTGCAGAGCGGCCGGGATCCGACTTGAGAAAATGCCCCCCAAGACTCCTTAGTTGAATGGACTTGTTGAGAGGATGAACAGGACTATTGAAGAGAAGGTCTGAAGTATGTTATCTAATGTCGGATTGCCGAAATCATTCTGGGGAGATGCCGTCAGAACTGCTATTGACTTGATCAACCTCTCACTATCACGACCACTTGAAGGAGAAACTCCAGAAGAAGTCTGGACAGATCGAAAAGCGACCTTTGATCAATTGAAGGTCTTTGATGCCGAGCTTTCGTGCATATCCTTAACGATGAAAGGGTTAAACTTGATGCAAAGACTAAAGAATGCATTTATCTTGGTTCGCCGAGATGTGAGTTCGGGTTTCGACTTTGGGATCCAATCAATAAGAAGATAGTGAGAAGCTGAGATGTGATCTTTCATGAAGATGAGACTATTCTTGACATCTCGAAGCCTAAAGTCCGGGTTATTGTCAGACGTGAAGAACCCATCCCTCATGTCCGAGCTGAAGCAGGGGGAGAAAATCAAGAAAACAATGAAGAAAATGTTGACCAAGACACTGAGGTCCGAGTTGATGATGAGATCCGGGATGAGAATGATGAACCGGGTTCTCAAGCTGAAGAACAGCTAAGATATCCAACTCGAGAAAGAAGACCCTCTACAAGATACCCATATGATAATACACCGTTGTTGCTGAAGAAGGTGAGCCTCAGAGTTACGATTAGGCTGTGACGAGCTCAGAGAAAGAAGAATGGGAAAAGGCAATGCAAGATGAGATGAAGTCTCTGCACGAGAATCAGATTTATGAGCTGACCAAGCTACCTGAAGGAAGACGAGCTCTGAAAAATAAATGGGTTTACAAGATTAAGAATGAAGAGAACGGGCAGAAGCCAAGATACAAAGCCCGAATTGTAGTGAAAGGCTGCAATCAGAAGAAAGGAGTAGACTTTGAGGAGATCTTTTCTCCTGTGGTGAAAATGACCTCGGTCCGAACCGTGTTAGCCATGGCGGCTTAATGGACCTCGAGGTAAAACAAATGTATGTGAAGGTGACGGTGATTTAGAAGAAGACATATATATGGAGCAACCGGAGGGGTTGCGAGCTCCAGACCAAGAAGACTTAGTATGCCGATTAAATAAGAGTCTATATGGCTTGAAGCAACCACCTCGGTAGTGGAACAAAAAATTTGAATCATTCATGACTGATCACAAGTTTGAGAAAACAGAAGCCGACCACTGCGTATTTGTGAAGAGGTA